AATAAAACTCGACTTAAAGTGTAATTTGATTTTTGGTCTCTATTTTCTTCATTAAATCAACGTTTATGTGAGTCTTCGTCAGTATATTTGAGATTTTCAGTTCATTTAAACTATTTTCTTATAAGATTTCAATTTAATTATATATCATTTGATACTTTCTTTGCTGTCAAATCACTTTTGATAGTTATTTCCTAAAAACCTTTTATATAAAAGTCAATTCAATATATGGTTTAAAAAGTTTTCGTTATTTTTAGATAAAAACAAGATTTAGAGAAATAAATTAAATTATTTTTGTGGAATTCAATTATTTGTTAAAAACTTATATAACATTATGTTTAATAAATACTGATCTATAAAAACATATTATAATAACAAATCAATAAATAAAAATAATTTGTAATTAAAACATAAAACCGATAATAAGTTTATATATAAAATACCAAATTTGTTCAAATGTTATATAAAAAGCACTGAATATTAAACTAAATACTCGACGACAAGTGTTAAACAGAAGAAGACGGCGTGAATTGATCCACAAATATACGCCAATTTGCTAAACAGTTGCCATTCACTTAACTTCAGAGCCATTATTAGTGCAAATATCGCGGCCAACAGTAGACACGATGTGATGGGCAGTGACTGGGAATGAATGGCAACTGAAGTGACGGATCCGTTGTAAGCATTGAGAGCGCATTTGATAAACCAGGGAAACCCGAGTCCAACCAAAATGGCAAATATATTGGCAGATATGGCACTCGATATGCCGACAGACGCTTCGCCCGTCTTCCGGATCACCACAACAGCGGTCACCAAATCAGGTACGGCTGAACCCGCGGCCAATACAGTCATACCAGCGATTGTATGCGGTATGCAAAGGGTTTCGCCTTTTCGTATAGATATTAAGTATTCATTAGTAAAGAATATTCTGAATATTTTTAATATAAATAACTCTATAAATCGATATAAAATACTAACTGAAGTCTGTAATGGATATAACGCTGACGTATGAGATGGTTGAGAGCCATGCGATCGAGATGAAAAACTTTATAATCGATGACATTTGCGACGGCATTGTTATGTCAAACATATACGTTAAGGGCGTTAATAATGTATTGACATATTTATTATCAAACAAGTCGTCGTCGTTGTCATCAATAGTCTTCATTTTATCCTTACAAACACCGTCTCCAGAGTCGAGCCCTCGCGGCTCAACCTCTAAGTTGCCGTTCATGTCTTCGGACGTGTTTCCGTAAGTTTGTCCAACTTTTACACCGACATAGAGTGCAAAAAGTGTTAAAAGCAAAGTAGCGTCCAATCTGTAGACAATCAACATTAAAAGTATTATTAAAAATATATAAAATATAGTTTTGATAACAAGACATACATATCAACGCTATTATCTTTGATCGTAAAAATCAAACCAATGACTGAAATAATATAGAAGAAGAGGTCTTTGAGAATGGGTTGGGCATCGAGTTTGATGGGCTGACCCACAAAGTAGGCAACAGTGAGGCCACAGGCGGCCGGAATTGCCAACTGGTTATAGCATGAGCTGCCAATGATAGCACCCGTTCCGATGTCATTGTCGGTGAATAATATGCCGATTACTGAAGAAAATATCTCGGGTCCAGACGTGCCGAATGGGATCAAAATGGATGCTGTGATCTCTGGTGATAACGATAGGGCTATTCATTGATATACAAAATGTTAGTATTATTTTAAATCGTATTAAAAGATATCATTTGTTAATTAAATTGATTGACAGGTAATCGTTATTAACGTAAAACAAATCAATTAAATGAACATTAAGTAAAGATTAAGTTATTAACAAATAATCAGAAATATGTAAAAAGTAATTATAGTTAACTGTGCGCTTAGCACTTGTACCGGACGCTTGTTTAAGGCTCCGAAGTTAACAATTGTTATCTATAAATAAAAATAAAAAATCAAAGAATTTTTTGTATTACTTTAGTTATTACAACCAAACATCACATTTAAGACGGAAATCACAAATAGATTAATAAGTTATAAAAATTTTGTGTAACAATTTATTGAAATGTACTTACAGTGACCCAAACGGCTTAGATTTGGTACAAAGTGTTTGTCACAAAGAGATCCGATGGCCAAACAACAATATGCAAATAATAATAAGTTGCTGACCAGACCAACAATGGACCCAAACTACAAGTGGTCAACATAAATAAACAATTAGATTGGTAAATTAATTTATGTTAACTCATTACATACAATTTGAATAACTAGTGGCAAGTCATTAGTCTTGTAGCCATATATTGGACATCCGGTGTGATTGACATGAGTGGTAATGTGCC